CTGCTCACTGATCAGTTCTGTTAAGAATATCAAAACCCTTCTTCATTTTCTCTTCAGTAGCAAGTAAATTATTAACACAAGAGTAGACTTTGTCCTTTCTGTATTTCTTACCCTTGGTTAACATTTAACTTGCAGAAACCTAATCTTTTATATTCTGAGATCTGACTGAGACTGTCATATGTGAGGTAGTGTATGAGGGAAAAGGAAACAATGGTACTATATGGATAGAATAACTCATCTGTACTGCGATGTATGTGTTTCTAACACAGAAACCTGGTGACTTAAAAAAAAGACAACCCTGCCTTATTCAGTATAAAATTCCACTATCCCCCAAGCTGTTCCCCTAGTTGTAAGACCAAAAATAATAAATGCAGCAACTGCTTTGCTGGAATTTCCTATTTAAAATAATGTGGTATATTCACATATTTAAATACAACTTCTCAGCTGCAAAGTATTTAGTGTTTTGAATGAACTGCAGTGATACCTTCAAGATTCTTGCAGAACTGTGATACCTATCTTGATGCAGAGTGGATGATTTAAATCCTTGCTGAAGTAAGGATTTAATAAAAATACATTTGTAGAGCTTTTTAGCCCCAACCAGTCACTCTCTTATCACTGCCTTTTTATTTTTCAGTTTCTTGTGCAAACTATTACTTTTTCAAGGTAACAGAGGTTTTGAGGGAATCACTCATGAAAACAGGACATCTTATTTGTGATCTAAGGTCTGATCTTTACTTAACTACTTAGTCAAACTGCTGCTGGTTCTGTTGCCTAAGTAAATTTTTCAGGGTCAATTGTTTAAGAGTTGCTTTATAGAAGGGCTATTTGTGACTATTGATCAGTGGGGTTTTTTACTCCTCTGAAACATTTTTTAAAGGCATTTGTAGTGTTAATATAATTTTTTTTTTTTTTTACAGCATTTGAAGAGGGGTGAGGGAGTGGCTTTAAGTTCATTTCCTGGTTTTCATATAAATTCTTGAGAGCTGTGTCATGCTACTCGCTGTAAATGATTGACGTTAAACTGACCTTTATAAAGGAACCAAGAAAATAAAACTTGTATTTAGGCCAATTTTTTGCCTTTACTTTTCAATTTTGGGAAACCATTATTTCTCCAAAACAATACAGGTTAGTGTGCAGTAGAATTACAAGGGGTTTAGGCCAAATTATAAGTCTAAACATACAGTATGATATTCCTTTTTTGTGTATTCCATTTTAAAACAAATCCTGTTCAGTGAAAAAAAAAAAAAGTATTAATTATCTGGACAAAATTTAAAGCAAAATTTGACCAAATTGCAACAATAAAAGTAGATAGTGGATCTCAATTTTACACGAGAGCTTGTGATATTTTTTCTAGTTTTAATTTTACCACTAAAGCAGAAATAGCGGATTCATTACTTCAGACTAAAATCTTGCAGAAACAACAGTCAAATAAAAGATTGCGGAGAATAAGAGAAGTGACAGAAACTGGAGAGAGGTGTTCAAGGAAGTATTCTCAGCTGTTGTTAACTTACTTCTGGTATTTTCCATGGTAGGATTTTTCTAGATATTTTTCCATTACTGAATACATCAAAACAGTCATTGCTTAAGAATTAAACTAATCCAGTAAAAGTTATAAACTTGGCTGCTTTCCTTTGGACTAAGGTGAACATTCAGATGAAGTCAGTAGGAAAACTGGAGTTGTTCAAGTGAGAAAGGAGGTACCAGCTTAATTCTTTAAATTTCCAAATCCTGAAAAGATACAATGTGTATCTTCTTGAATAAGTTTCTAAAACATTTTTAAATTGTTTGTTTTTCTTTCTAGAAATAAACATAGCCCACCACCTCACCCAGTGCTGTCTTCCATATCAGTTCTTTTTTGCTATCATCTAGGAACTGCTGTAAAAGGCTCATTTTTAATCACAGTACTGAGAATACCAAGGATTGTTCTCTTGTACCTTTATAATATCCTAAAACAAAAGGTAGGTATATACTTCTGTAACACCATAAAAATAGTAGTTAAAAGGTGAGATTCATGAAAAAAAAATGTAAAGAATAGACTTCTTGCTTAAAAATGGGTGATATGATGTGGATTTTATATTTTATCCCATTTTCTTCATTAAGAAAGCTTTTCCCATGTGCTTCTTTTTTTTCTCTCAACTCAAATATTTTTAAAACCAGAAAACACCAACATTAAAAGCCACCTTTATTTAGTGTTTATATAGAAGGGTTTTTATGAAGTATAAAGGAAAAATTTGGCAGAATGCTCTATTTAAAATTTTGCATCATAAATTTTAAAAAAGCAAAGGTAAGTAGGAACATTATTGTTGCATATAAAATATCTCATAGAAAAGATTTCATCTGCCTTGTAATATGAGTTTATAGAAAGAATGTATGAATTAAGAACTATTCCAGAGATTTGTGTAGGATCCAAACCACATCTTTTAAGATACATAAAAACTATAGCTGGGCTGTTTTGATTGTTCCTTGCCTTCTTTCTATCTTTCATGCATCTCCACATCTCTTATCTTCTGCTGGAAACATACCATTGTGGTTAGTTCTGCCCTTTGCAGTTCTGCCCCCCTGCACTTTGGCAAGGAGAGAGGGCTGTCATGACTGCACAGCTCTGATTTTAGAGGAAGATTCAGCCAAAGTTTTTAAATATAGGTCTTTTCTTCTAGAGTTTACCTTGGCCTTGAAGCATGTTATGTATAGCTGTGACAGGGTATTTACATTGAGCATCCCTGGTATCTATGAGGCATGTGCGTGTGGTATAGTTTGTGAATGTTTAAATAAAAGCCACTTGCAATAAGATACGTGAAAGATGTGTAAGAGTCTGGGTTTATGTCACTTTCAGATGAAAGCCTTGGTTATAAAACTTGGTTATACAACTAAGAACTTTGTTTAAAGATGATAGGTGGAATGAATTGTGCTAAAAAGAAGACAGAATATTTTCTGTCCCTAGAGGAAGCAGAATAAGTGGACTTGTTGGGTATGTGGTTTTGTAATCTGAATAGCTGTAGAAGATTTAACTAGCAAAGAAAGATTATTTATGTCTATAGCGGTGTACTACAGGCTCCTTTTGGTCCAGTTGCCAGGCATTCAGCTGAGGATGTGACATGACCCATAGCTGTAACTGCTCCTAAAGAGGCTATAGAGGGCTCAGGCCAGCTCGTGTCCCCAGTCCACAGAAGGATATGCCCACAAAGTAACCTTGCTCCTTCCCATGGGAGAAAAGACAGGCTGTGGCCCCTTTCCATTGAGGCTCTTTCCACAGAGGCCAGAGTAGTGGCACTAAAGGATGGAGAAGTGATGCTGCATTCTTGTAGAGCTTACCCAGACTTTGGCACCCTTGCAGAAAATGCTGCTGTTTTCTGTGAACAGGAGGAAAAGTCAGGGGCCTGCAAGCTTGCAGGTAAATTCACAGATGTTTTCTACCCAGCAGTCTTCGAGGAGAATCAGAGAGGAGATTGCAGTTAAAGTCTCTTGCTCTAGGTTTTTAATAAACAGTACTTACTGAGATTAATACCGTTTTAGTAAAATCATCTTTCCAGCAATACACGGCAAGATTAAACTACTTCTCTTCTGTCAGGAGTTTGCATGTACAGTCGCTGTTTTAAAGGAATTATTCCTGGAATATTTCCAAGAACTTCCGTGGAAAAAAGTTGGGAGGTTCGTGGTTTCTGCACGAAAAATGGTAGTTGTGGGGACCTGAGGTTTTTATATAGTGACTGGAAGATCTCTGCTTTCCAAAACAAAACAAAAACATTCTGACCTCTGGAAAAAGAAGGTTAAAAAGACTCAAGTATCACTGAACTGAATTTCCTTTTGCTGAGAAAAACAGCCAGTTAAATTTGGAAGGCTACCATGGCTACCAAGATGTCTTTTGCTTGTCTTGCTTGGTAAAATCTTTATGATGAACAGTTCTGAGCTCGTGATGTGATGGGGTGGGAGGGGTGGAACAAACACTGGGCTTTTCTGCTCTGTTTTTATTATGAAATTAATATAGATCAATCGTCTATGCATGGTCTGTTCTAATACATGCTTTTTTCTTCTGTCCTGAAAAATAAATTTATGCTCTGAGTCAGTACACACACATGCATATAAGCCCTTCCGCCCATTCTTTTATTTTTATTCATTAGGGTACCAGTCATTTCAGAACTGCGAAGGTTTTTTTGAGAAACAAAAAAGTTAAAAATCTGTCAGTGTACTCCTTGATCACTGCAAAGTACTGTAAGGGTTACTGACTTGCCTGCCTGTTTTGTTCTCCGAGCAGCTGTTAGCTCACAAAGCTGCTTGCAGCATTTATTTTCTTTTCCCAGAGAAGAATCTTCCATCCACAGGAAGAAAAAAAAAAATACTCAGCTCATCGGTCATTAATACTGAAGGGTCTGAATTAAAAACAGTTCCTATAATCCGAAAGGAAATATCTGCTGCCTAAAGTGAATGCTTTATTAGAAGAGTCAGTCACCTGTAAAGCAAGTTTTTCTAAAGTGGCAGTTTTGTTTGAGTCTAATTCTGTGTCCAGTAACCAAACATTTCATTTTATTGCAGGAGGGTGCATGTGCAAGGTGCCTGTTCAAGTGCTGTTTCTGCTGGTTTTGGTGCCAGAAAAGTTGCTTAAGATACTTTAACCAGGTACACTCTATCATCTCTCTGTCATTCAACCATCTGCATACCTAGTCTAGAAACCATGTGTGTATGCTAGCTCCATTTAGCACGACTAAAGCAACATCCAGGGCACGCAAGCCAAAGTTTCCTGCTAGCCACCTATACTAAACAAACAAAAAAATCTTCAAGCGCAGATGGAACTTGTTGCAAAGAAGCAGGGAATTGACAAACACGCAAGGTGTAAGATTTTAGAAAACTTGTTAATACAGCTTGAGCTAGCGCTTTCAGAGGGCCACTTGCTATTTCTGAAGGTAAGAAGACTTAACATTTGATTGAGTTGTGCTGGACAGACTACTGAAGTACAGAGGGTCCAGGTGGAAGGAAGCAATGAAGAAGTAAGAAACCCACCTGGAGATGTGTCATTAAGCTAGATACAGTATTTTCCACCTGAAAATCCTGAATAAAGAAACTTGAGCTCCTGGCTGATTTCCATTATCAATATATCTGGGAATATGATCCATGATGAAAAAGCCAGATGATATAATAGTCTCTTTCTTTGAAAGACATCTTTGTTTTGTTAGCAGTTTTGTTTCAAAAGTGTTTTTATTGGAAATGGATGATTTCTGACATACAGCAGTTTTTCAGATACTTTTGACTCCTACTTTTTCTGTCCTGATCCTTTTCTCCAAATATTTTCCAGCTCTATATACATCATTGTAAGTAGTTAATTTTTCTCTTTGTCAGTCCCCATTTGTTATCTCTGGTGACTGTGGTATTCTAAATGCGAAAGGGGATCAGATGTTCATGCTGATTCCTAACTGTCTGACTGTTGCGTTCTTTGTTCTCGTTGCTGAGGGCAGTAGTGAAGTAAACAAGACAACTCTGATAAAGGGTCTGACTTCTCTTCTAAAGTAGGTGCCTAAATTAAGCTTAATCTTGGACAACTACATCGAGAAAGTTTTTCACTTAGTTCAGCCTAGATTAAATACTTGTGCAGTGAAATCTCTGGTTCTAGACAATGAATTTTCCAGGCTTACATTTTTTAGGTAGATCTTCTGGTCACTGACTTGGTGAGGAATCTCAGAGCTCGTTTTGACTCCAGGCTTTCTATTTGTAGTCACCCTTTCCCCTTGGCTTCCTGCCTTTCAAAGAGATATCCAGCATCCTAGTGTTTACTTTCTCCAGCTGTTGTATGCTATGTGTTTGTTAAAAGAAGAATTAATTACTGTGATGTTCTTCCTTTTGTTTCAGAAGGCTGTATTGTAGCTCTTGTTCCCTTAAAAGATTTCCCGTTTCCTAATCTATTGTAGGCAAATTTCTGTTTTTACATGAGTTGTGGTTTTTAACCTAATGATCGTAGTACTGTGTTTGCTGTTAGATAATTGTTTGTTTGAACATCTTTTTGGCAAAGATGATGGTGGGCCACATGCTTCAAATCCAGGGCGATTTGGACGAGGGTTAGAAGAGAAGAAAAGCAAGAACATGCTGTAAGATTTTAATAGAAATTTCAGCTGTATGAAGGGGTAACACTGGTCTCGGATTATTGCATTTCATAGAGTAATTAATGTATCTAGTTTTTTCTTTCTTTCCTGTAAAGAATGTATTGAAGCCTATATCTTCAATTTTGTAAAATCTGTGGTGAAATGTAAAAAAAAAGGGGGGGGGGGAAGACAAGTCTGCAGTTTTAAGCATCTTAACGTATGGCTTGATTAACAGAAGTACTGAACTCTTAAGAGCTCTTACTGAGATCAGTGAAAGCTGCTGAGTACAGCCTTGAAATTTCACATAGGTGTTGAACGTGGACTTGAGAGTAGGACTTGGGAGGGGTTCAAAATTGCTTGTACCTATGTTTCTAACATTTTGAAAGCATTTTTTAGTTCAGATTTTGATTTTTGTGTGAGTTGAAATTACTGAAATATGGAACAGCTGTTACAAAAGTTGGCCCAAAGCTCATTTCCTTACTGTATTTTTGCCTTGTATTCTAGTATTACTTTCACTATAGTGATAAGCATATAATTACCTGAAACACTAAAAAAAAAAAAAAAAGCCTTCCCCATCACTTCTATAGTATTTTCTTCAACCTCTTGTTATATTGCTTAGATGATGTAAATTCTTTCTGTTTCTTCATTCACAAGTTTAATCAGAATTAAACAGAGCCCCTTGTTTTCCCTCTGGGGACTTGCAGATGAGAAGCAGGTGCTGGAGGAAGTAACACGGGTGATAGGGTACGAGCTTCTTTCTTCCCATGCAGTATCAACCAAGTGCTCTGTTACGTTATCAGAGTACTTTTCGGGCTGAGGTTCCATGGTTCAGGTGGGATTTAACACTGACTTTGATAGTTGCATGCATCCCTGAAGTGACTCGTTCTCTGCAGTTTTATTTAGCTCTCCTGGAACTTAACTGAAACAGGGCCCAAAATTTACCCTGTCGTCTTCCCGTCGTGACAGAGTGCTGTGCTAGACGCTGACAGTTGCCATATTTCCAGTGGCGGTTGTTGGAGGAGGGGTAATGTAAACCCAGCATCCTGTGCAGATTGCAATGTGGATAATTACATTCTGCCTTCCTAAATTTCTTTTGGATTTGCAACTGGATCCTGTGCTAGACTGTGGTGTAGTGTTGCTATGTGCTGTTAAACAGTTCACTCCTTAAGCTGTTCCATTTCAGTCATGGGCAAAGTGATTCATGTGTGTGTATAATCCATTAGTAACAATTGTAAAGCACTCTGGGTTCTATCTGGATGAAAAGTGCTTTGTGAATATAAAGTCATTATCCTTACTTGACAGTTCTGTTTGCCAACACTTGTCAGAATTACCACAGATTTTTCATCTTCTGGCTCTGATGGTTTCAGTATGTTCCAGATAAACATATCCAATCAGCTCAAGTAAAATCTGGGAGATTGAAACTTCTCTTCCGTAAAAAGAATATACTGTTTTTTTTAATGTGGTTTGGGAGCTACAAGGTCTGTCTGTCTCCTGCTTTCTTAAATTGTAGTGGCAGTCTTAACTTTTGATACATCAAAGCACTCGCTTTTTTTTCCCTTTGCAGCCTTGTTGCAGTGCCTTTTTTTTTTACACAATATATCTAGTTCAGGATAGTTTTTTATTTTTCTGTGTCTGCTTTGGGTTCATCTGCAGCCAATTGGCAAGCAACGGCTCCGAAGTGCAGCACATGGATTTCTGAAGGAGCTGCTGAGCAGTATGTGGTTTCTCTATTTTCATCAGCACAGTTACTTGCAGGGTAGCCTTCCGGGCCCCGTGGTGGCCATTACCGAAGTCAGCAGTGTGTTAGCCTGCATTTGCTGGTACTGAGACTCTTCACTGATACTGAAAGCCAGCAACTCTCTAGTGTAAAAAAACAGAAGCAAGTCTGTCTAATGGTCGTGTATCCATGGCAGTTAGTTGTCTCTTAAACTTTGGATGGAAGCCTATCAGGAGTTTACAGTTAAATGCCTTGTGGAGAAGTGACCTAGATAAAACCAAAATTCATGGATGCTAATGTAAGTACAGTTCTCCCCTGCACTGCCAAACGCATTGTGCCTCACCCCATCAAGTACTTCTTTTTCCTCCCAAAAACAATACTGTGTTTTAATGTTACTGGCAAAATTGCTTCTAGATGTTAAGCTAAATTTTCAATCGTCTTGAAAATACAGTTGGCTAAAATGTTCATCTTCAGTGAAATCGTATTTTACATATGTTTGTTTTCCTTCTAGAGGCTTTATGTATGTGATAACAGGAAATAAAATTCCTTAGGTCTTTACTTGCTCTGTAGGGTGAACCATGTAGGGCATCAAGATGAATGAGGCTGACTAATTCTTGCTTTGATACCTTTCTCCTCTCCCCTATCCCATAAAAAAAAAAAAAAGAGAAAGAGAAGAAAAGGCAATGAAGCAAGTGACCAATAATTCAGTGCTTTTAAGCAGAGCAATTTATGAACAACTCTCTGGAAATGTTCAGTTTGATTTTATTTCAGAAATCCCAAATGAGAACATTGTCGCACTAACTGCAGAAGCCAGCGTAAGCAACTCCAGTAATGATGTAATCATGATGCAGTGGGCACTTAAATCTGAATCCTTGTGGTCCAACCCCTGTAGTTGAAATGGAGCCCCGGTGTAGCAGGGCGATGCTGCAGGAAAGGACACCCAGCTGCCCTCTGAGGAGAAAGTTGTGTTGGTCCTACCCCCTGGATGACAGCCGTGGAGGAAGTAGATGACACACAGAGTAGGAAGCAAGGAAAGTTGAAGGACAAGATTTTCTCCAGTAAGTCCAGACTGCAAATATAAGGTGGAATGGAAATAAAGGAAAGTTGTGCTTCTTGGACCGCTTGGGAAAATTCGGAAGGCTATTGAAGGATTTCTTACAGATGGTAATTAGCCTAAGAATCAAAAAGAAGCGTCTCTGTATTGGCTGTGTGCTTATTGGTTGGAAGTGGGGGAGGAGAATATTCTCTGTGTGTTTGTCAACCACAGGACAATAGCCTTTAGTTAGCAAGGCTCCAGAAAGGGCAGATTCAGTCCCAGAAGGTATGAGATGAAATAGTTGCACCAGAAAGAGGAGGGTAAGTGCCATTGTACAAGTTGCTGGGTAGGGGATCAGGCTTATCTCACGGCAGGGACAAGAATATCTTGGTGTGCCTACTTTGACAAATGAAGGGTAAGAGCAAGCCCGTTAGCCATCTATGAGTGTATCAAGAAGAGAAACAGCAGGGAGGGATAAGAGCCGAGACAAGATCAGCAGAAGAACGAGTAGATGTAAACTGTTCATGAGTAAACGTTGTCTGGAAGTTGGAAGAGAGTTCGTAAGGACCAGAGGGACAACTGTCTGGAATAGCTCCAATTGAAAGGGCTGGGAGAGGGAAAAGCCCTAAGTAGTTTAAAGAGGGAGCTTTCCACTTAAGAGAAGAAATCGTATAATGTGCTAATCTGAAATAGCCAGGGACTGGAGTGGCTGAAAGTCCCTTCCAGTCTTACATGTCCTCATCTCTTCAGTGGGGGCCTCACAGGCCCACCTTGCTCTCATTTCCCACCGCTATCTGAGAGACATGATACAGCTTTCTCACCAGGTCGCTAACTGCTGTACAGCAGCCACAGAAATGTCATTGCCTCTTGCTACCACTGGATTTTGTTTTCTGAGGGGATTCCGCTGGCAGCTCTGACACTTGCAAGCTAAGACAATTAAAAGTCCAGCCTGAGCTGTACAGCGTTGCAGTGGGTGTAGCTAACCAGGGCAGCCCCCCCAAGAGAGCTGGCAGCAACAAGATCAGATCAGGCTGAAAATAGCAGCAGAGGAGAAAAAGCTGAAGTGGGATGTGAGACCAGCATGTCTCCTGCTTCTTTTTTAAGAAGATTCTGTTGCTATGCCAATCCTCTCTTCCCCAAGCTCATTTTATTAAAGCAAGTCCTAGAATGGAGGACTGAATTCAGCTGTTACACAAAGTAGCAATTATTTTCAACAATTGGGGAACTTAGGGCCTGGATCTGAGCCACAGTGCCTTTCTCATGAAACTAGCAGGTCAATTTTTCCAAGACCCTTGACATTCTGTGTTATGAGGCACAGAAGGATGTATTCTTTAAATAGTTTTTTTTGCATACTGTGGTATTTGGAAATATGTAAACATTCACATTCCTTATTTATTCATCCTGACACTGAGAAACTAGTGTCTAGTTCCCAGGCTCCAAGCCAGAGGAGGCTTGTGTTCTTCACAAAGGTGGCGATACGGTACCAATTTGCTGGTGCAAGGAGAAAGACTGTTCCTGACCCATTATCTCCCACGCTTTCTATGAATGGTATGCTGTTGATGCCATTATTACTTGCTTGTCACCATAGCAGAGAACACCGTTGTAAAACATCAGTTCATTAAGCAAAGATAAAACACATAATAGCTATATTGGGCCAGACTGCGTCTCCACCTATCTCAGTATCCCATCTCCAACAGTGGCTGTGAGTGAACGCTAAGGTAGAACGAGCGTATATTTCCCCGTCCCCGTGCTGTTTCTGAATCTGTTTTCAGCCTAGGGACTTCTTGAGCTGAGTATGTTTTCTGTGTGTTTAATAACTCTCAGTGGATTCCTTTTCCCTGAACTTTCCCAGTCTCCCTTGAGCTCACACGAACTTTTAGCAGCTAAAGCATCCTTTGTCCAGCAGTTCACAGCTTACAGACTTACAGTGAGAAGAAATACCATCTGTTTTCAAATTTGGCTCCTACTACTTTGTACGGTCCTCCCCCTGCCTGGTCTTTGTTCTGGAAAAAACGGTGAGCCATCTAACCCTACCTACCCTCTCTGCATTTCTCATGATTTTGTAGCCCTCTTACCGCATCCTCCTTCAGTCATCTCTTTTCCAGACAGAAGAGCCTGGCGTACTCAGTTGTTCCCCAGACAGAAGACATTCCATACCTTTTGGATCATTCCT